CCGAAATCCGAAACTCGAACGCTCAACCCCGAATCTTGCACCTCCGCCACAGGGTTTAGGGTTTAGGGTTTAGGGTTTAGGGTTTAGGGTTTAGGGTTTAGGGTTTAGGGTTTAGGGGTTTGGGGTTTGGGGTTTAAGGGTTTAGCGTTTAGGGTTCAGGCTTTAGGCTCAGGGTGGTCTACATCACAAGCCTGCTCGCCATTGTTGGTACAACTTCTCCTGAACCACCGCCTTTCTCTCGTCCTGCTTCATGGTCTAGGGTTTTGGGGTATAAGGTTTAGGGTTTAGGGTTTAGGATCTCCTGTTTGATTGGGCTGCGCAAAAAGCTGTCAAGAAGAGGGTGTAGGGCTTAGTTAGGGGGTTAGGCGGGGATTCCGTACAAATTTCCGATCGTTTGCGTCGAGTATTTGAGGCCATAACCATAAACCCTAAACCCTAGACCCTAAACCCTAAACCCTAAACCCTAAACCCTAGACCCTAAAACAGCACAACTCATACTTCTGGGCGCCGTGGTCCCTGCCACGTGGGCCTTGGCCAGAAATGGAACCCAAAGGGAAGACTGAGACGTTCAAAAGGGGTTTAGGGTTTAGGGTTTAGGGTCTTGGGTTTAGGGTTTACGGTTTAGGGTTTAGCAGGGTTTAGGGTTTTAGGGTTGGGGTTTAGGGTTTTGGGTTTAGGGTTCAGGGTTTAGCAAGGTTTAGGGTTTAGGGTTTACGGTTTAGGGTTTAGCAAGGTTTAGGGTTTTGGGTTTAGGGTTCAGGGTTTAGGGTTTAAGGTGTTCAAAAAGGGTTTAGGGTTTTGGGTGTAGGGTTCAGGGTTTAGGGTTTTGGGTTTTGGGGTGTTCAAAAAGGGTTTAGGGTTTTGGGTTTAGGGTTCAGGATTTAGGGTTTAGGGTCTAGGGTGTTCAAGAAGGGTTTGGGGTTTAGGGTTTTGGGGGTTGAACAACTCGGTTGTTATGAATACACATCTCTCTAGGACCATAAGGAACATGATACAGTTTTCCCCAAGTGCCGGGCTTATAGGCTAGAGTGTGCCCTAAACCCTAAGCCCTAAACCATACCTACATGGGAGTTAGAGTTTATAGCGAACCGCAGAAAGTTGGAACATGGGTTTAGGATGATTAGTGCTAGGATCCCTTATACTTTACCTTGAGGGATACAAAGATGTTCCAACTTTCTGGCCTCTACTTTAGGGTTTTGGGTTTAGGGCTTAATGCTCACACCCTGAAACTTATACCCGGCAACCCTGCCTCCTATGCCCTGCACCGAGAGCCCCCGACCCCAAGAGCCCAAAACCCTGAACCCTATCGGGATTTCCTTTTGGGGTTTTGGGGTGGAGGCTTTGGAGTTTAGGGTTTAGGGTTCAGGGTTTAGGGTTTAGGGTTTAGGGTTTAGGGTTTAGGGTTTAGGGCTGAGGGTTTGGAGTTTAGGGTTTAGGGTTCATTTAGTATTGGAAGGGCTCGAGCTTTAGGATTTCCGGTCTTTGGAAACCGCTGGGTTACCAGCACTTGACACCCAAACTGCTGAAATGATAACTATCCCGTGAATCCTCTAGTGTTTAGGGTTTAGGGTTTAGGGTTTAGGGTTTAGTACACGACTTCTGCTTCTGAAGCAAGCACCTTGAATGGAACCCCAAGAAGAACCATCACCATGTATGCCGAACCAAAACCAAGATAAGTTGCAAAAGCAGCGCAACACAACCCACACGGAGCCTACAGCGAGTGCAACTTTAGGGCCTTAGCCTCTGCCTTCTTAGGTCATTTACACAATACCCAAGATAGGAGCGTTGACAATTCTAAAACAGTTTCGGGGTATATTGTAGTACGTCCATCCATCGGCTACTTAAAGCATCATGGGACTTAGTAGCTGAGGTTATAAACAAGGTAACTATACTTATGACCCCAATTAGGGTACTTATAACCCTACTTACTAAGTCCCAAGATCCTCCAAGTAGGCCCTAAACCCTAAACCCTAAACCCTGAACCCTAAACCCTCATAGCCCTACTTACTAAGTCCCAAGATCCTCCAAGTAGGCCCTAAACCCTAAACCCAAAACCCTAAAACCTAAACCCTAAACCCTAAACCCCAGATCCTGGTGCGCATCGAGGATGGAGAGACACCATCACAAATCGATCGGGCTCTAGACTCTAAAATGCTACTTGGAGGGTCGGGGGACTTAGTAAGTAGTTATTTTTAGACTTATGAGTATCATAACCCCAATTAGGGTCTCTGTTAGGGTACTTATGAGTCTACTTACTACCTACTTACTAAGTCCCCCGACCCTCCAAGTATGGAACCCAGAGAAAGAACAGGCTTGACTTGGGTCCTTCTTCAGGGTCATAAGAACAGGGATCCTACTGCTCAGGGTGTCTACAAAAAGGACCTCAATAATCAAGTAGACTAGGGCTTCGGGGTATATGATACTAGAATAATGATAAGGATCCCCCAAAATAGAGTTGGAAATTATTGTATTTAGGTCCCTATATTCTTCCATGGTCCGTCTTCGGTGTAACGCTCAAGGCGGGCATCACGCTGGAAGCCCTCTGGAAATCGCCGCATCCCAGGGCCCTTCCCCGGAAAACCTGAAGCCGAAACCCTAAGCCCTCATCCCTAAACCCTAAACCCTAATCCCTAAACCCTAAACCCTAAACCCTAAACCCTAAACCCTAAACCCTAATCCATGTAATCCATGAGCAGGGTTTAGGGTTTAGGGTTTGGGGTTTAGCCCTAAGAGTCCAAAGGACCCAACAAGAGGGTAATTTGGTTGCGGATAGTAGGTTTAGGGTTTAGGGTTTAGGGTTTAGGGTTTAGGGTTTAGGGTTTAGGAGTATATGATTATGAGGTACTTGGACCCTTAGGGTCATCCCTAAACCCTAAACCCTGATCCATAATCTCTAGACCCTGTAACCCTAATCCCTACACCCTGAACCCGAACCCCTGAGCCCTGAACCCTAATCCCTAAACCCTAAAACCTTCCCCTGAAAGCCGGTGGCAGTACCTCGCGGCGCTTCTTCAGCTCGTAGGCACGGGCCTGGGTGGAGACGCTAAGCCCGTTTATTGGGGTTTGGGTTTTACGGTTTAGGGTTCAGGGTGTAATTAGGGGCCTTACTTAGGAGCTTTAATTCAGCGTATAATTAAACCTTAGGTTTCGGTTGACGCTGAATTCTTGGAAAGTTCATTTGCGTCCAGAAAAAGGTCCCTGAACCCTAAAACCTAGACCCTAAACCCTTGCTCGGGGCCCAAAATTCCAACTTTAGTTCCGCCAGAATCTTGGATACTCCCCGCTCTGCAAGCCTTGAGGACGAACTGTTATGTGGGTAGTTCTCCAAATTCTGGCGCTTTTTAGGCTCCAAAATGGTACGCGCCCTCATTTAAAAAAAAACTGAAAGGGACCCGCGTAGACAGAACTACCCATGAACATGTTCACGCCACTGCGGCGCTTTGGGGTGCAGGGCTCGGGATTAGGGTTTAGGGTTTAGGGTTTAGGGTTTAGGGTTCAGGGTTTAGGGTTTCAGGGTTTAGGTTTAGGGTTTAGGGCTAGGGTCTAAGGGTTAGAGCATCGGGTTTTGGTGTTGTTCTGTGGAAATCTTATGAAGCCCCAGATAATTTTAGTTGTTCCTTTTTTAAGGGGTTTCGGGCTCTCTGGGAAAGATATTCAACTATCCCGATCCAAGCACGGCTTCACTGAACCTTCAAGTACCAGTGAAATCGGTCTCTAGCGACTGGCACGCCAAGAAGGCGAAACCCCAAGATACACTGATTGGTTGGTGATACATGATAATACAGGCCGCAGCAGCAACTCTACTGATCTCGCCATCGTGATGACCATAGTAATCTAATCAAATATAAAGAACCTTCAGAGAAGCCTGGCTTCATCACCTTACCATGACTTTTAAGTTTGATCCTTGACCCTAACCTTCTGAACCCTGAAGTAAGAGCCCACAAACTCGCTCCGAGCTCACTGAAAGGAAAATTAAATGCCTCAGCCTGGAGACCTGTGCGTGAAGGACCCGGAAATTCCCAAATCACTGCAGCAAGGAATATACCTTGAGGTATAGAGGGACTCTGCATTTCATGGAATGTACATTCCTCAATATGATTTGCAAGGAAAAGTTGATCCTCAAATGAAGGATCCGTAGTTGAAGGTGTATTCCTCAATCGAGGAGTTTGGCATTTCCTGGGGTCAGGCACTGGGCGGGCCGGCTTAAAAAGGCTGGAGATTAAATTTATCGGGGCTCTACTCTGCATCACTCTGTCTGTGTGTATAGGTATACAACTACATGCACATATTCATGAACTGACAGACGTACATGCATGCATACATACATACGTATACAGACAGATGCCTGATGTGTATGTATGCACGTACATATGTATGTCTGTGTATTTATACATGAAGCATATATATATATATAAGAGAGAGAGAGAGAGAGAGATGAGTGCTTCTCTACATCCGGATGCCTTGTTGACTCTCGCTCAAGAGAAGGACTCCATGTCGACCGCGATGAAAAAAGTCCAGCATGTGCATGCGTGTGTTCGTTTCTTTGTTTGTTTGTTTGCATATATGAACAAATGTACAAGCATCACCTTTAGATAAACACGCGGTTTTTCAGCCACACACGCAGATTTCAGCTCCCAGATTCTATCATCGTGCTTTTTTGCCACCGGCGGCAAGTTCGTGCAGAGCTCGGCCCAAGGTATGAGGGTTTGTCAAAGGGAAGGAGCCCTGGGAATTAATTTAGGCTTGCTTATTACGGGCTTTATGGCTTTTCAATACCGTATCCCTCTGCTCTCTTTCGCGACCACTACTACTACTACTACTAATAATAATAATAATAATAATAATGCTACTACCACTACTCCCACTACTACCCCCACTCCTCCTCCTCTTCCTCCTCCTCCTCCTCCTCCGCCTCCTCCTCCGCCTCCGCCTCCTCCTCCTACTCATCCTACTCATCCTATATACTCCTACTCCGCCGCCTACTCCTACTTCTGCTCGTCTCAGATGGTGAGGCTCACCTGCATCAAGCTGCAGAGCTCCTGCGATTCGGAAAAGGGTTTAGGGTTTAGGG